ATCATTCTATACACATCTCTATTGCTAAACAACAAAGTATAGATACAAACTTACCATTAACATTACCTTCAAAATAACATAACCCGTGCATTGCACGGGCAATAGACTAGTATAAATAATAATTTGCAATGACATTGGATAATAAGGTATTTTTCAAGACATATTCTACTTCGAGAGCACAAAAAAAATATTTTCTAAAAATAATTATAAATTTGGATTATTGCTTCTTCATTAATAATATCGTAATATTCTTCTAAAGTATTGAAATTCTAATGTCAGGATTTTCTTGAGCAAGTAATATTCTTCTAGAATATAAATATAATGTTGTGCTACTTGAGAACCAATAATATATTATTATTTAAAAATATTAAAATATACTCTTAAGGAAAAAAATGTATAATAATTTTATTTTTTTTTAAATAAAATATCTTATCATGCTCTCCGGAGCAAGTAATATTTGTTGTAAATAATATGATTATTAGTGCATGATAATTATACCCATATAGTTCTAGTTTTTATTACAATTGTATCTATAATTCTTCTTTATAAATATAAGACGTTGATTCTTAATAAAATACACAAATCTATTGACTTCTCTATTTTTTTTTTCTCTTTTCTCTATATTTTATAACATTATTGTACTTCTTAAAGAGTAAAAATACAATTAAGAACGGATTCAATCATTGAAAATTTATGGTTAAAGAAAATGATAAGGAAATATGAGAAATTATGAATTAAAATTGCACACTAATACATGAAAAAATTTCACGTATAGTAATTAAGTCATTGTCAACCATGTATTAGTTGCACAAAGATAAAGTAAAATTTGAATTCATCCGTTTGGCCCCCACTATTTGAAATTTTTAATGGTTGGAATAGTATTTTAAAAAAAGCATATGGTTAAAAAAGAAAAAAGAAGTTTTGGGATTACATATGATATTATTTTATTGAAAAATGTGTGGTTAATAAATAAGAGAGAAAAATAATTTATAATTTTAGTAGGGACCAATTAGGGACTAATGATATTAGTCAAAGTGTATGGTGTACAGATTTCTCATAACTATAATAATCAATTAATAGAATCTAAATATATGATAGGAATTGAGATCCAAAATTTGTAGATGGCATCCAAAGTTTGTATATATATGATTTGAGATTATAATAAGCATTATGTAGAAGACTTTTACCTTAATATCTCAGAAGAAGAAAATGGTGATTCGAAATTGGATTAAAGCTTTCATCCTGATAACATATTGTAAACCAAAAAGAAAAGAGAACAAGATAGAGAGAATCAATGGATTTGTATATTTTATTGAGGATCAGTGCCTTATAGTCTTATTTCTAATAAACTGAGAGTTGAACGTCAACATCGTGGTTAATCTGTAATGACCGATCCCTAGTACCCGACCGTTCTCTAATGCGCTGTCCATTTTGAGAATGCATATGCCCTCTTACCTCTTATGGTTTTATGTGGTTGCCCAATTGGTATTAGAATTTAACTTAAATATCTTTTAAAGGGAGGTCATATGTTTGAATTTTAGAAAACGCGACAAAATCGTGAAGGGTAAGAGGACATATGTCATTCCAAAGCGAACAATACGTAATAAAACGGCCAAACATGAGGCATATGTCTTTTCAAAAAAATGCACGTTTTTCGTAAAGACTCGACTTTCGTGCCCAAACCATTAACTCAGTACCGTCCGCTCCAAAAGAGTTTGAGTCAATCTTACTCCTCGAGGATTTCTGTCACAATCCCCCAAAATTCGAACACATGACCTCCCCTTAAAAGAGATTTATATTAAATTCTGTTACCAATTAGATTAACGCCTTAAAGACAGAGGTTGGATCGTTACATAATCTCTGCATCTACTCAATTGAATGCGCAGTACTATGCAATAATGTTAAGTTTTATTTTTATTTCTTGTCTATACATCTCTGATGTTTTTATATGTTCCATCGACATTGCATCAACCTTTATATATACATTTCATTGCATGAATTGGATTTTTTTAGGATCATTTCTATATGGAATTTAATCGGGTTAGACATTGTGTAATTGATAAACCAGATCAAATTTTTAGAAAGATTAATATATAGCTAAAATTAATCATTACGATTCTATGACATAGCTCCGTTCTTTTAATTGTACGTCTAATTATTGAGAAGGCGAGCACTTAATTAACCATCCTTGCGTTTTTTCGAAGTCACTCCTATTAGATATTATTCAATTATGTCAATAATAATTAATACTTACCCTTAATAGAAAAGAAAAAAACAATTTGGACACTTGCTGTCCAATTAGGGTACTAGACAACATAAATAAAACAGATTAAAAATCAAACTTAAATCTCAAACTAAAAACATAACGACGCAAATACCTGTATTGAAAATTGTAAGTACATATAAATCGAAAAAGAATCAAGAAACCAAAAGAAAGAACACATCGAAACTCAAAATATAGATTAGAATAAAAGTCTTCGCTTGCAAGCCTCGAGGGGGAGCGAATACATGCAACAACGTTTCATCAACTCTTTAACATACTCTTCAATCAAATCTCTGCATATGCAATCTTCCAAAACTAACCCTATTCTCTCAACCTCTCTTTTTTCACCCCATGCAATGTCATTACACACTTCATCTACACTTTGTAACTTAGCCCTGGTGATCCATCCAGGTGACACCGTGCCCTCTCTTCTTAAAGATCGATACACAATTGTATGGTCGTCTTCTCCGGGCTTCTTAGACGAACTGGTATTCCGCTGTTGTGGAGCATGTACTATCCCTGCACAGCAAAAACGGAGGGATTGTTTGACAAAATTTCTGATAAAAGTTGATGAAATATATGATAGAAAAGTTGTTAGTCTTATGAAATATTTGGTTAAAACTAATTTTTAACTTTAACCTTAACTTTTTGACAATTTTTTAAGTTATGCCAAATATAATTAATGTTTGGCGTGTTAATTAATCTTCTAAGGAAAAGAAAAGGTGAACTTTGTCACCTAAAGCAATGATGGATCTTCTTTTCTTTAGTGTGGTATGGCCAAAATGATTTCTTTTTGTTACCTTCGGATCTTTTTTGACTGCATCATGAATGTCACTATCCTCTTGTTTGATGTAACTTTTTTTTTTTTCTCTCTCAAAAAGTTGATTAAACATCATTCTTAATAATATAGTTTATTTTGCTTATAACTTTTGTTCATTTTTAACCATATATTTCATGAAACTCGCGAATTTGTCCGACTTCATTTACTAAAAATCTACATCATATATATAGACATACACAAGCGTGTAGACCCCACCCCACCACACCCCACCCCACTCAAAAGAAAAAAGGGAAAGAAAGCAAATTAAAAGCCTCTCAATTAAAGGACTTCGTTTCAGTAGTATTTGTCAAGATTTAAAAAAAAAAAATTCATCTAAATTTCTTCTTTTTAGCTATTCAGAATCATATTTTTAAGTAGATTTTGATAAAAGCCGAAAAAATATATAATTAAAAAGTGAACAAAAATTTTGTATCATGTAAAATGTAAAGTTAAAAAAATAAATTTTAAAAAGTTGAAGCAAACCCAGACTTGATGTATCTTTGTCTTCAAGTCTCATAGTAATTGTTAACAAAAAGTAAAGTATCAATATATTTGAATGGAAGATCAAGGAAAAAAGTAAGAATTTTTTATGTTTTTGTACTGGATAAGGGTGATGTAACTTATAATGACATTGTCCACGCCAAACAGGATATTATTGCTTGCTTGAGCGTTAAAACATCTTGAATAGAGCTGTAGCCAATAGAGAATTTTGTCTGCATTATCAAGAACATGTACTTATGAAATTCCAAATCTGTGGAATTTTCTTAAATTTTAATTATCAGACTTTAATTTTGGCGAAAAATAGGTCATAGAAAGAAAAAGAAGCAATGAAAAAACTGGAAAAGGTACTGACCATTATTCTGTACTTTGGAGAAGCTACTCAGAGTCAGAGGTGAACGAGGGAACTCGTCTAGCACGCAGACTGGACTCAGCTCCTCAGCTTTCATGTCCATAGAATGTTGTTCATTTCCACCAACACCACCACCCTTTGGCGGCTGAAGACGCGTATCAGAAGATTGCACCCTCCTTATTATCTTCTTCAGCGCTTCCAAATCCTCATTGCATTTTTCCAAGGCTTGCAGTATTTTTTTCCTCTTCTCTGCAATGGGATCTTCGTTTAATGCAGGCTTTTTTACCAAAATTTCCTCCAATCCCATCAGCCGCGCCACGAAAGAATACGGTGTTTTCCGATTTACTGAAGTGCTTTCGGCATTTGATCGTCGAATCTCCGGTGAAAGTGTGGGACTTCTTGGTATAATATTGCTAATATCTTCTTTGGCAGAAGGAGAAGCTTTTGTAGCATTTTTCGGAGTAGATAAAGCAACTTTTTCTTGTTGTTTCCTCCCTGAAAATGGGATTGGATTTCATTTCAGTTTCTCAAATTCTTCACAATTACGTACAAAAGAGCTAAGAGAGAGAGAGAGAGAGAGAGAGAAGCATTTCTCCCACATTACTATAAATTCAATTCTTCAACTGATGCTCTGCAAGTCAAAGTAATAAATGGAAAAGAAGAGAGGATTCTAACCAAAAGTAAGGAGCTTGTTCCG